GAGGTTGGGGTACACGGGAGCTGAAGGTGCCTTATGGCCTCTAGCTGGGACTCGTGTGGGCCCAGGGTCCTTTGGCTTCTGGCCATCTGGGATGGGAGGTGGAAGAAGGTTGTAGAGCAATGCAGAGCACAGACCTCTTGTGAGGAGGAGCAGAAGGAGATGCAGGGGTCTTTCATTTAGTCCCTAGAGAAAAAGAGAAGACAGACTCCCAGAGGGTCTTTAAATTAAAAAAGAGTTGCAGGGCTGGGAAGGTGGCTCAGTGGTAGAGCGCTTGCCTTGCATGCCTGAGGCCCTGGGTTCGATTCCTCAGCACCACATAAACAAGAAGAAAAAAGCCGGAAGTGGCGCTGTGGCTCAAGTGGTAGAGCGCTAGCCTTGAGCTGAAGAGCTGAGGGACAGCGCCCAGGCCCAGAGTTCAGGCCCCACGACTGGACCCAAAAAAAAAAAAAAAGAGTTGCAAATGTTTTAAGGTAAAAACCAAAAGAAGTGGGACTGCCTCCCCGCCCCGGGGATTCAGGTCCTACACTGGAAGAACTTGGAGCCTGGGAAGGGTCGGCAGAGTGTGGCGAGCAGAGAGCAGCATTGCTCTGAAAAGATGTCCTGTGACACATGCACGCCGGTTTTTCTTGAGGCTGCCTGTACTGGGGCTTGAACTTGAACTCAGCTTGGGTGCTATCCCTCAGCCTTTTCTGCCCAAGGCTGGCACTCTACCCCTTGAGCCACAGCACTTTTGGCTAGTTGGAGATAAGAGTCTCAAAGACTTTCCTTGCACTGGCTAGCTTGGAACTGATAGCAAACCATGATCCTCAGATCTCAGCCTCCAGAGTAGCTAGGATAACAGGCACGAGCCACTAGCACTCTCTTCCAGGATTGCTTTTGGTGCTGGTGCTGGGGTTTGAACGCAGGGCTGTGTGCATCGTCCTCCATGCAAGCACCTACATATAAATGTGGCAGTGTACATGTGCGATCTTAGTATTTAAGAAAAAATGACCAGGTCTTCTTTGTGCTGTGTTGTGTTACTCTTTTACCATTGTAGAGTATTTACTGGGTGTGGCCATGCTCTGTGTGGCACTGCTGGGCTCTGGTGTTAGAAGGCTGAGCAACACGTGGTATCTGTGTTCTGGGGAGGCTACTGGGTGAGTCAGAAACGAACCACGCCTGTGAAGGTGGCATTACCAACTGTGATCAGCTCTGGAGACCAAGTTCAAGTAACCATGTGGATGTAAAACAGGCTCATCTGATAGGGTTCAAGTTCATACGAGTCTCACCATTCATAGTGGGTTTTCTTATTCCTACTTTACTGGGAAGGAATCAGGCTCAAAGAGATTAAATTTACTTACCCTAGATAGCACTGCAATTCAGTCACAGTTGGGATTCAAACCCCCTTCCCCCAAGGGTGAGACCCAGAGACCCCTGCAGCTGAGCTATGCCTCTGCACTGTCAATTGGGCCCAGAGATCAGCTCTGGCCCTGCCCAACTCCCCCAGGTGAACCAGGAGCACGCTGCTCCCGCCCCAAGGGCCCGGCCCTCCAATCAACCTGGGAGTCACCGGAGCCATTTCCTTTGGTTCTGGGACTGCTGGACACGGGGCTGAGGCATCGGAGGGCCTAGGAAGTAGCTGCCTGGACCTGCTGGTACTGTTGGGGGTGAGGGGTGGGTAGAAAAGACCACCAAAGGCAGGAGATAGTCTGTGTCTTCTGTCATGGTGCCCAACAGAAATCCTCTGCTGTCCAAGTGCATAATTTTAAGTCTTCTAGTACTAGTGCACTAGATGGTTGATAGAGTGCCCGGCGGGACGGTGCTTGCTAGCCTGTGTGAGGCCCTGTGTTCCACCCCTAGCTCTACCAAAGAAAAATCTCTCTCTCCCTCTCCCCTCCCCCTCTCTCCCTCTCCCCTCCCCCTCTCTATGTTCTTTCTATGTATACAAAACAGGTGAAATTAATTTTTAATATGTTCATCCAAAATGTTTTTTTTTTCCTTTTGGTGCCAGTCCTGGAGTTTGAACTCAGGCCTAGGCACCATCCCTGAGTTTCTTTTGCTCAAGGCTAGTAGTGCCTTACCACGTGAGCCACAGCTCCATTTCCAGCTTTTTTGTAATGGGCTTTCCTGCCCAGGGCTGACTTTAGCCAGTGACAGATCTCAGCCTCCTGAGTAGCTAGGATGACTGACTCCTGGCCAAATTGCAGATTTTGTATGTGTGTCCATTACTGGGGCTTTAACTCAGGGATTCTGCACTGCCCCTTTGCTTTTATTTGCATAAGGCGGGTGTTCTACCACTTGAGCCACAGCTCTACTTGTGGCTTTTTTTCTCATTAATTGGAGATGAGAGTCTCATGGATTTTCCTGCCCAAGACTGGCTTCGAATCCTCAGATCTCAGCCTCCTAAGTAGCTAGGATTTGAATTAAAATTTGCAATCCACAGACAGCTATGAAGGAGCTGGTGGTTCTAACCTGTGTACTAAGCCCTCAGTACCTTTTTTTTTTTTTTTTTTGGTTATGGGTCTGAACTCTGGGCCTGGGCGCTGTCCCTCAGCTCTTCAGCTCAAGGCGAGCGCTCTACCACTTCTTCAGCTACAGTACCACTTCTGATCTTTTCTGCTTATGTGGTACTGAGGAATGGAACCCAGGGCCTCATGCATGCAAGGCAAGCGCTCTACTGGTGACTGAGCCACCTTCCCAGCCCCCCCTCAGTACCTTTATGTGTTTGAGACACTCAGAGCCTATTTCTGCTGCGACTAGCCTCATTCCTAGTGCTCAGTACCCACATGTAGGGTCAGGTGGCCTTAGGCCTTGAGGAACCATTCACCTAACTGTACCCCCAGAATAGTAATGGGGTCGCTGGGCTGCCATGAGGGGGGAGGGGAGGCTTTGTGGCAGGAGCTGGGCCGAATGAAGCGAAGCCTATAGGAGCCCGCGCTCTGGATGGAGGCGTGACCTGGTGGCCTGCCGGTGGCCGAGGTAGGGTGGGTCGGGGTGGCTCGGAGCCACGGGATCAGAAGCCTGCAGGCCCTCATTGTGCGCCTGTCACACTTCCTTTGGCTTTATTGCTTTTGTCCAACACCCTATTGTCTGGTTTCCTTTTGTCCCCCTTTCAGTGCCCTGCCTTTTATTTTCCTGCCAGCCTGGTTGTTTTCATTTCTTTTGTCTGAAGTTCCTGAGAGGAAGGTTTTATTTTCAGCGGTTTGATTAATTCACAGCTTGAGCCCGGGGTTTGTTTGTTATGTAATTGCTGCCCTCAGCTCCAGGATAACACCCTTCCCTCCCTGCACCCACCCCACCCCCCTGCGGGGGTCTGGCGCTCAGCCCCTCCCTCTCAGCTCTGGATTGGCTGAGCTCCCAACCATGGGGGGCGGGGGGGGGGGGGAGGGCGGGGGCGGGTGACATCACCAGGGCAAAGCTGGGCTGGGGTCTCTTCACTTTTCGGTGGGGTGGGGCTGACCGTCTTTAGGTCAGGTATGCCCTCTGCCCTCTCCCCTCTGCAGCACTGGGTCCAGTGTTAACCCCAGGGCACCCTGGACTTAGGAGGACTGCTGTGGTCAGATCTGTCCCCGGAGATCATCTTAGACAATTTTTTGGGGTGGGTGTCATTTGTGAGGCTTGACCTCAGGGCCTGGGCACTGTCTCTGAGCTTTTGCACACAAGGCTAGTGATCTACCACTTTGAGCCACAGTGCCACTTCTGGTTTTCTGCAATGGATTGATCAATTATAATTATACTTCTCTATGTTGCTGTCTTTAAAATACCCTATGTGGCCAGGCATTGTTGGCTCATTCCTGTCATCTTAGCTGCTCATGCTCAGGAGGTTGAGATCTGTGTGATTTGAAGCTACTCAGGAGGCTGAAATGTGGGGAGGATTCTGGTTCAAAGCCAGCCCAGGCAGGAAAGTCCATGAGACTCGTATTCTAATAAACTACCCAAAACCCAGAAAAAGAGCTCGAGATTAAGTGGTAGAGCACTAGTCTTGAGCAAAAGAAACTCAAGGACAGCATTAGGCCTTTTCAGTTCAAGCCCCAGGACTGGCACCAAAAAACAAAAACAAACAAACAAAAAAAAAACTCAAATGCTTTGGGTAGTTTGCTTTGGGCAGATAGTTGGAGTGGTGGGGACTAGCTAGCACGAACCGGTCTGTGTGTGGAGCTCCTGCTGCTCAATTCCAGCCATGTTTGTCATTAAGCTGAAAGTTCAAATTCATATTTTTATGTCCTATCTCTTGAATTTTAAGTTTTGGTAACAAGTACCTATGCATACCAATACACCATACATACATAATCTCCAGCCTGTTCAGACCAGAAATAGCCAGGTATCCTCTTTGGCCCCCTCAGAGGATCTGTCAGCCCACCAGCCCCAACACTACAGAGGCAGGGAGCGGGCGTGGGGTGCGGCTCAGTGGGAGGGAGGCCACAGTCCCACCCCACAGTGCAAAGGAAAGAGGCCAAGAGTGGTCCAGGTGGGCCCAGTCAGCTCTAAGATCCATTTAAACAACAACAACAACGCTGGGTCTGTAATCCTAGCACTCTGGGGGCTGAGATCGGAGAATTACAAGTTCAAGGCCAGCCTGGGCTACGTCTTTCAGACCCTGTCTCACTCAGAAAAGAAAGCAAACAGATGAAACAAAAACCCATACATGGGGCTGGGAAGGTGGCTCAGTGGTAGCTGAAGTGGTAGAGCGCTAGCCTTGAGCTGAAGAGCTGAGGGACAGTGCCCAGGCCCAGAGTTCAGACTCCAACACAGACACACACACACACACACACACACACACACACACGACATACACACAGAGACAGACATACACAGACACACACACACACACACACACGGGACAGAGAGCCTTTTCTGACTTTTCTGTGGGTTCTAACAGTACGCTTCCATGTATACAAATGCCTGCTTTCAGGAAAGCCCGGGCATCTGGGAACAGGATGGCATCACCGGCTGGTCACTGGGGTGGGTGGGTTTTGGACCCAGGCAGGACGCAGCTCACCTGTCCGCCCTTCCTCCCCAGGATGTCCATGCGGAGCCCCGTCTCTGCGCAGCTGGCCCTGGATGGCGCTGGCACCATGGTGAACTGCACCGTCAAGTCTGAGGAGAGGAAGGAGCCGTGCCACGACGCTCCCCAGGCTGCGGCCGCTGCAGCCGAGCCCCGGCCTGGAGACCCAGCCCTGGCGCCCCAGGATGCTGTTGACCCCCAAGCTCCAGCTCAGGTACCCAGTGCTTTCTTAGGGGTCCTTGGGTGAGAGTTTCCAGCTCACCTCTGATGCCAGCCCAGCCTCCCTGCAGGTGGTGGGGTGGGAGGGGTAAGGTAGGTAGGAAGGGTTTCAGGTGAGCAGGACTCAGCCCTTGCTCCTGAGGACTTGCTGGGGAGATCAGATAAACTTGCTGAAATTTTTACTTAAATCAACCAGCCGGGCATTGGTGGCTCACGCCTGTAATCCTAGCTACGCAGGTGGCCAGGATCTGAGGATTGTGGTTCAAAGTCAGCCTTGACAGGAAAGTCCGGGAGACTTTTATCTCTAATAAACTACTCTAAAAAGCTGGGAGTGGTGCTGTGGTTCATGTGGTAGAGCTCTTGACTTGAGCAAAACAAGCTCAGAGACAGTGCCCAGGCCCAGAGTTGAGGCCCCAAGACTGGCCAAAAAAAAAAGAAAAAAGACTATATAGCATATAAGCCCAGTGTTGGCAGCTTATACCTATAATCCCAGCTACTCAGAAAGCTGAGATACAGGTATTGCAGCTCAAAGTAAACCCCAGCAGAAGATGACAGTGAGATTCTAATAGAGAAAAACACTGGACTGGAGACATGGCTCAAGTGATAGAACAGCAACCGTGAGCAAAAATTAAGAGAATATGAATGCAAGTCCCACACTTTCTTACACACAGCCACACCCACACACAACTATATAGCTCAAAATTTTGGGGATTCCATACAGGAGATGTGTAAGGGAACAGGTAAACAGGTAAAAGGCTAAAGCCAAAAGAATGAAGATGATAAGAGTTGGGCTTTAAGTGGAGGATCCAGCTTGGAGGAGTCAGTGGGAGAGGGTGTTAGGGAGGACTTCTTGGAGGAGTCAGGCCTCAGGGAAGTGGACGAAGAGGATCCAGGCGGGGTGGAGAGGGTCCTCTAAGTCAGCAGCCAGTGAGTGGGTTGTGACAGTACCCAGCATCGCCCTGATCGGGGCACACCTCATTCACTTGGTGTAATACCTGGCCAGCAATAGCTGGGAGTGTTAGGATGTACATTTTCAGAAGAGGGAGGAAGTTGGGTTCCGAGCCATCTGGGACTTGGGTGGGATCAAAAATCCCTTGTGAGTCACTGAGCCTGGTCCCCAAGTCTCGTTCTTTTCATGACATCAGGTAAAGTGTATCAGGGACTTGGCAGGTGGGTACGAAGGGCCCTTTTGATGGGGCATTAGGGATGTGGAGGGCAAGTGTGTCTGGGTTGCTCAGCTCTCCCTGCCCTCTGCACCCGGTCTCTTGGGCTGGCAAGTAACAGTGCACCATGTCCTGCAGGACTGCAGCTCCCCTGAGAGCAACCGGTCCCCAGAGCCCAAGAGACCAGCCGTCTCCGAGGCTGCTTCTGGAAGCCAGGAGAAGCTGGACTTCAACCGCAATCTACAGGAGGGTAAGATGTCCGCTCTAGTCCGAGGTGGGGGCGGGGGAGGGGACTGGTGCTGATGTGACTGTGTCTTACAGTGGTGCCGGCCATTGAGAAGCTGCTGTGCAGTGATTGGAAGGAGAGATTTCTGGGAAGAAGCTCCGTGGAAACCAAAGATGTCAAAGGTGAGGCCTGTGGGGGGAGATTGTGGGGGGGGGGTGTCTGAGCCCCTTTCCTTTCTGGCCTGGCGTGTGTGTGTGTGTGTGTGTGTGTGTGTGTGTGTCTGTCTGTCTGTCTGTCTGTCTCTTTGGTGCTGTCTCTTAGCTTTTTCACTCCAGGCTGATGATCTATCACTTGAGCTACAGCTCCACTTGTCACTTTTGGTGGTTCATTGGAGATCAGAATCAAACAGACTTTCCTGCCTGACTTTGAACTTCAGTCGTCAGGTTTCAGCCTCCTGAGTAGCTAGGATTACAGGCCGGAGCCTCTGGCGCCTAGCTGTCTTGGCTTCTTGGTACCTCATAGCTACCCTGTGGGATCATTCACCAGGGATGGGCAGCCACATGGCTTACAGCCTAGCATTTAGAATGAAAGGCTATCCCAGACAGCAAAACTGGAAGGCAGGGGGCAAGATAACATATGTTGGTTGAGGAACACGTTGAGATGCTAGACAAAGATCTCTAAATGATATCTTGTTCAGCTCCATAGTAATCCTATGATATGACCGTTACAGTCCCCATTTATTGATTAGAAGTCCACCTTGAGTGCAGACCTGAGGCCTGACGGGATCCTGGAAACAGGAAAGGGATGGGTGGGTAGATGCGGGTGGACTGACAAAACCTCTTACACTGGGGAGCAGGGACTCAAGAGAGCCTGGCAGAGAAGGAGCTCCAGCTTCTAGTCATGATCCACCAACTGTCCACCCTGCGGGACCAGCTCCTCACGGCCCACTCCGAGCAGAAGAACATGGCCGCCATGCTCTTCGAGAAGCAGCAGCAGCAGATGGAGCTGGCCCGGCAACAGCAGGAGCAGGTGCGGGCGCAGGCCTGGGCCCAGGCCATTGGGTCCCCACCTCTGGTGATTTGGAGTCATTGGCGCTGAAGGGACTCTGGGGGAGAGCAGCTCGCTGCTCCTGCACGGCCTTCCTCCATCCCGGGTCCCCTGAGGGAAGGATGTCCACAAAAGAGCTCTGGGGGCCAGTGTCCTGCTCCCCAAGCCCTCTCGGCTCTCCAGGGTTACAGAGGTTGGAGCTAGGGCGGGCAGGCTCTGGGGAGAAAAGCCCTGGTGAATGCTCATGACCGCCCCTTGCCACTCCATCCCTCTTCAGATTGCCAAGCAACAGCAGCAGCTGATCCAGCAGCAGCATAAGATCAACCTCCTCCAGCAGCAGATACAGGTGACAGCGGGGGAGCGGGGGCGGGGGGCGGGGGGAGGCTGACGTTAGTCAGCCCCGCACAGGTGCTGGGGACAGGGCTGCAGATCCAGTGGGATCCCTCTGGCCATACCCAAGAGGGGCCCTGTTTTCCCTGTGGTAAGGGACCCCAGAATATAGCCTTCCCAGCTGAGACTCAAGGATTCAAAGACAGGTGCTCACAGAGGGGTCTGGAGTGAGTGGGTCTTTTGTGTCTGTCCTGCAGGGGTCCACCTTTTTGTGTCCTTGGTGCCCATAGATGCAGAACTCTTTAGGACATTTCCTCCCCCGCCCAGGGACTCATATGGGGTTTTTCTTGACTTCAGCAGGTCAACATGCCTTATGTCATGATCCCAGCCTTTCCCCCCAGCCACCAGCCTCTGCCTGTCACCCCTGAATCCCAGCTGGCTTTGCCCATTCAGCCTATCCCCTGCAAACCAGGTGAGTAGAGGGAGGGGTCATCACCAAGGCTGGCTTGTCCTGAGATCAGGGAATGGTGGTGCTAGGGACTGAATTCAGGGTCTCATCATGCGTGTTGGGCAGAGACTTTATTACTGGAGCCACATCTCCAGCCCCCTTTTGCATAGATTAGTTTGAAGGCAGGCTCTGGCTTTATTATGCCCCAGCCAATCTGAACTGTGATCCTTCTTCTTGTGTTTTCCCACAATGCTGGCCCGTGACAAGCACACATCACTAGTGCCCCCACATTGGTTGAGATGAAGTCTCCTGAACTTCATTTGCTTACCTCAAGCCTCTTCCAGTCTCTACCTCCCAAGTAGCTAGATGACTTGAGTCCCTGTGCCTGGTTGGTGTTTTTAATTTGCTGAACTCTTTTTTTTTTTTTTTGGGTCCAGTCATGGGGCTTGAACTCTGGGCCTGGGCGCTGTCCCTCAGCTCTTCAGCTCAAGGCTAGCGCTCGACCACTTAAGCCACAGCGCCACTTCCAGCTTTTTTCTTTTTGCTTATGTGGGGCTGAGGAATCGAACCCAGGGCCTCATACATGCAAGGCAAGCGCTCTACCACTGAGCCACCTTCCCAGCCCAATGTGCTGAACTCTTTATCTGTTCCGTATATGAGTCCTTGTCTAATGAGTAGCTGAAACCATGCTGTGCGATGTTTCTTCATTCTGGCAATTGTTTTCCTTTGAGCTGTGGAAGCTTTTAAATTTGACACAGTCCCATTCATCAGTCCTTTTTTTTTTTTTTTTTGGTGCCAATTCTGGGCTTGAACCCAGGGCCTGGGCACTGTCTGCTCAAGGCTAGCGCTCTACCACATGAGCCACAGCTCCACTTGTGGCTATTTTGGAGGTTAATTGGAGATAAGAGTCTCACAGACTTTTAGCTGGCTTTGAACTGTGATCTTTAGATCTCAGCCTCCTGAGGTAGGATTACAGGAGTAAGCCACCAGTGCCTGGCTTCCATATGAATTTTAAGATTTTAAGATTTCTATTTTTAAATATTTTTATTTCTAAGATTTTTCTATTTCTGTGAAAAGTAACATTGGAATTTTGATGAGCATTGCATTGAACCTGTAGATTGCTCTCAGTGCTCTAGCTGTCTTCACACCGTTAGTTCTACTAGTCTATGAACATGCGAGCTTCTATGAACATGCGAGCTTCTATGAACATGCGAGCTTCTATGAACATGCGAGCTTCTATGAACATGCGAACTTCTAGGGTCTTCTTCCATTTCTTTCTTTAGTGGTCTATAGTTTTCATTTGGAGGACTTTCATCTCCGTAGTTAAATCTGTTCCTAGGTATTTTAAATTTTTGAGGGTATTGTGAATGATTATTGCCTGATTTCTTTATCTTAAGAGTTTTTGGTAAAGTCTTTTAAGGATTTTTTTTGGGGGGGTCAGTTGTGGGGTTTGAATTCTGGGCTTGGGCACTGCCCCTGCGCTCTTCAGTTCAAGGTGAGCGCTCTACCTCTTGAGCCACAGCACCACTTCTGGTTTTCTTGTGGTTTATTGGAGATAAGAGTCTTATGGGCTTTCCTGCCCGGCCTGGCTTTGAACCGTGATCCTAAGATCTCAGCCTTCTGAGTAGCTAGGATTATAGGTGTGAGCCACTGCTACAGGATCTTTTAAGGATTTTTTAATTTGTATCTCCCTTCCTTCCTTCCTTCCTTCCTTCCTTCCTTCCTTCCTTCCTTCCTTCCTTCCTTCCTTCCTTCCCTCCCTCCCTCCCTCCCTCCTTCCCTCCTTCCTTCCTTCCTTCCCTTCCCTCCCTCCCCTTTCTTCCCTTCTTCGCTTCCTTTGCTTCCTTCCTTCCTTTCTTCCCTCCCTCTCCTTCCTTCCTTCCTTCCTTCCTTCCTTCCTTCCTTCCTTCCTTCCTCTTTCTTTCCTTTCCTTTTCTTTTCTTTTTTTTCTTTCTGTTGTGGGGCTTGAACTCCGACCTAGGTACTATTCCTGAGCTCTTTGGGTCAGGGCTAGGGCTCTGTCTCTCCACAGCTCTGCTTCTGGTTTTCTGGTGGGTAAGAGTCTCAGAGATTTTCCTACCTGGGCTGGGGCTTTGAATCATGATCCTCATATCTCAGCCTTCTAACTAGCTGGGGTTACAGTTGTGAGCCAGCAGAGCCCAGCATTTCTTTCTTCCTTTGGTCTTAATTTCTCTGGCTCATGAATTCAAGCAATGAGCCTGGGAATTAGCTTAGTGGTCAAGTGCTTGCCTAGCATGCATGAAGCCCTGGGTTCGATTCCTCAGTACCACATACACAGAAAAAGCTGGAAGTAGTGCTGTGTGGCTCAAATGGTAGAGTGTTAGCCTTGAGCAAAAAAGAAGCTCAGAGACAGTGCCCAGGCCTTGAGGTCAAGCCCCAGGACTGGCAAAAAAAAAAAGGAAAGAATTCAAGCACTATATTGAGTAAGAGAGGAGAGAATGGATACACTTGTCTTGTTGCTGACTTTAGATGAAATGTTTTTGGTTTTTCTCCATATAGGTTTGCCATATAAAATCTTTATTATGTTGAGGTATATTCTTTCTGTTTTTTCTTTCTTCAAGGCTTTTATCATGAAGCGATGTTGAGTTTTGGCAAATGTTCTTCCTACATTTTTTTGAGATGATTATATGAGTTATTTTTGTCATTTTAATATGTAGTATTAAGTTTATTAGTTTAAACCATTCTTGGATTCCTGAAATAAAACCAACTTGATCATTGTGTATGAACTTTTTTTGGGGGGGGGTCTGGTCGTGGGGCCTGAACTCTGGGCCTGGGTGCTGTCCTTCAGCTCTTCAGCTCAAGGCGAGCGCTCTACCACTTGAGCCACAGTGCTACTTCCGGCTTTTTTCTTTTTGCTTATGTGGTGCTGAGGAATCGAACCCAGGGCCTCATGCATGCAAGGCAAGTGCTCTACTGCTGAGCCACCTTCCCAGCCCCTGTGTATGAACTTTTTAATGGATTGAATTCAGTTGAAAGTTACTTATTGAAAATTTTTGTTTTTTTTTTTTTTTTTTTTTTTTTTGGGTTCGGTTGTGGGCCTGAACTCTGGGCCTGGGCACTGCCTTCAGCTCTTCAGCTCAAGGCTAGCACTCTACCACTTGAGCCACAGCACCACTTCTGGCTTTTTTCTTTTTTGGTTATGTGGTGCTGGGGAATCATGTTACTGATTTGGGATTGGACTTGTTCTTGTTTTTCTAAGAGTTTGAGATACATTGTTTTAGGTTAATTGAGAGTACTTAGACTTTTTAATGAAGCTTTGCTCTTAACATTGCCTTTTCTGTATCTCAAAGGTTCTGTGCTTTCATTTTCATTTGATCCTAGGTGTTTTTTATTTCCCATTATTTATTTATTGTTTGTTTTAGAGAGCTACTGATGATGCAGACTGTAGCTCAGTCTCCACGTGTTGATACATTTTCTGTAGTTCTCTTACTGTTGATTTCTAGTTTTATTCCATTGTGTTCTGATAAAATGCAGCACATTATTTCAAGTTTCTTGCATTTGTTAAGAAATACTATATGTCTTAAATATGATCTATTTTAGAGAAAGTTCCACAGACTGCTGAGAAGAATGTGTGTTCTGTGGTGGTTGGATGAAAGATTGTGTAGATAATTCCAAGTTCGTTTGATCTATAGTGTCATTTAATTCTGAAGTTCCTTCGTTGATATATTTTTTGGTCTGAATGACCTATATATTGGCAAGTGGGGTATTAAAGTCATCAACAATTATTGTGTTGGGATCTAGCAATGCTTTTATGTCCAGGAATGTTTGCTTTATGAAATTGGGTGCCCTGACATTTTGTGTGTATGTTTACAATTGTTACATCCTCATGATGGATTGCTCCCTTTATCAATATGAACTGAACTTTTTGTCTCTTCTGACTAATTCTGGTTTGAAGTCTGCTTTTTCAGATACGAATATAGCTCTCTTGCTTGTTTGGGCTCCTTTTGCTTGGAACATCTGTCTCCATTCATTACTTTAAGCTTGTGTTTGTCTCTGCCAGTGAGTTACCTTTCTTTCTTTCTCTCTTTCTTTTTTTCTTTCTTTCTTCCTTTCTTTCTTTTCTGCTGCTGGTTGTGGGGCTTGAACTCAGGGCCTGTGCACTTCCTGTCCCTGAGCTTTTTTGCTTAAGGCTAGCCCTCTATCACTTTGAGCCACAGTGCCACTTCCAGCTTTCTGGTGGATAATTGTAGATAAGAGTCTCATAGACTTTTCCTGCCCAGGCTGGCTTTATACCACAATCCTCAGATCTCAGCCTCCTGAGTAGCTAGATTACAGGCGTGAGCCACCAGCACCCAAGATGAGGCACATTTCTTGTAGGCAACATATAGTAAGGTCTTATTTTTAATCCTGTCTTTGCTTTTGGATTGTAGAATTTAGAACATTAGCATTCAGATTTATTATTGAAAAGTATTTAGATATTCCTATCCTTTTATTGTTTTGTAGTGTTTGATTCTTTTCTAATCTTCTATACTCATCTAAAGAGATTTATTCCTTTTTGAGAGGAGCACAATACTAGGGCTTAAAACTCAGGACTTGGTGCTCTCACTTGACTTTTTCACTCATGGCTGGCACTTTACCACTTGAACTATGCCTCCACGTTGGGTTTTCGTAGTTATTTGGAGCTAAGAGTCTTGGATTTTTCTGTTCTTGATTGACTTTTGAACTGTGACCCTCCGATTCCAGCTTCCCAAGTAGCTAGGATAATAGATGTGAGCCACCAGTGTCTGGCTGAGATTTATTCTTTCCTGTATTTTCATGTTTGCAGTTCTCTTCTGTGGGTAGGACATTTTTTAAATACTGGCTTTAGTGATCGTGAATTCCTTTAGTTTTTGTTTATCACAGCCAGTTTTTATTTCTCCTTCAATTATGAAGGATAGCTCTGCTGGCTATGATAATCTAAGTTTTCAGTGCTTTTTTTTTGGGGGGGGATGGCTTGAAATGTCATTCTATACCCTCCTTGCTTTTCCTGTTTGTGTTCAGAAATACTGTTCTGATAGATTTACTGTTCTGTGTCACTAGGCAATTCCCTCCTGCAGCTTTCAGTGTCCTGTCCTTGCTCTGCAAACAAAACTAATAGGATATGGAGAGTGTCCTAAATGCTTCTGGTACCTGGATGACTGACCATATCTTTCTGAAGATTTGGAAACTTTTCCGCTGTTGTTTTGTTGAATGTGTTTTCTCTGGCTTCACTTACAGCACTTACTTTTCTGCTCATGATGCATAAGTTTGGTCTGTCGATGGTGTCCCAGAGGTCCTGCATGTTCAGTTCTTTTCCCCCGTTATCTTAGTCTCAGTGTTCAAATTCATCTACCTTGTCTTCAAACCCTGGTATTCTGTCTTCAACTTGAGACAGTTTATTGATGAGGCTTTCATCTGAGGTTTTTGTTTTTTAATTGGACTTGTTGAGCTTTTCATTGTCTTCCTTATTCCACTCAGCTGTTTGTATTCTCTTTGATTTCATTCAGGTGTTTACACATGTCTTTTTTTTTTTGGGGGGGGGGTCCTTCATGGGTCTTTAACTCAGCCTGGGCGCTGTCCCTGAGCTCTTCAGCTCAAGGCAAGCGCTCTACCACTTGAGCCACAGCTTCACTTCCAGTTTTCTGGTGTGGGGCGGGGTGTTAATTGGAGGTAAGAGTGTCCAATATTCTTACCCAGGCTGTCTTTGAACTGTGATCTTCAGATCTTAGCTTCCTGAGTAGCTAGGATTACAGGTGTGAGCTACTGGTGCCGGGCTATACATGTCTTTAACTTAGTTGATGGGTCTGGCAGTCATTCTGAATTATTTGTGATTCTTTGATATCTCTTCACTATCATATATGAGAGTCTGTCACTATGAAACTGTTGACTTTAGGAGGAGTCACCTTACCTTTTTTTTTTTTTTCATATTTGTGGTTTTTGCACTGGGATTTGTGCCAAATGATTGGAGATTTTCCTGTAGTTTTTCAGTTGAAGTAATTCTCAGTGTTCAGGCAGAACTGTGTCATAGCAAGGTCAAAGTAGACTGGGTTCTTAGCCAGGCGTTCACTCATACGCTCAGTTGGGGGGTGGGTAGAGAAGGCTTCCCGAGGAGGGGACATCTGATGAGGTCCGGGGAGGAATGGGCAGGATGTGTGAGCTGCGGCTGGATGTTGGGATAGAGGTTTGAAAAAGAAAGGTCTAGGCAGAGGCCCTGGAGGGATTGGATGTGATGGAGAGGTCAGTCAGAGACTGAACAGATTCTGGGAGTTACTTCATAGGCTAGGTGCTGCCCTTGGGCCCTTGTGGGTTGTCTGTGGACGGTAGGACCTGGAGCAGGACGTGCTTAAGGCAATATCCAATAGAGGGTGTTGAGATCATGGTAGCCATAGAAGACCACACCTGACTACCAGCTGGGCCTGTAACTGCCCCAGGAGTGTGACAGGCTCTATGGCCAGCCCTTTTAGTCTTCCATTCCGGTTCCAGGGTACCCCATGGCATGCAGCATGGAGCCCAGACTCCAAGCTGACCCTTTCTGTGAGCCCCATTTTATTCTCTACATCTCTCACACCCCACCACTCCATCTCTACCTGTCTGAATCCTGCCCCATCCCACAGGCACTAGCTCACATCCCGCCTGTACCAGGAAGCCTGCTGGAACAAAGTTCCCTGACAACCCACCTCGGGGCCCATATCAGCACCTGCTATGTGGTTAGTGATTTGTACACAGGGCTTATCTCTGCACCTGAGCTGTCCCACCTCCTTGATGCCATGCCGGGCCTGGTTGGGAAAGATGGAGGCAGGGTAGGTGGGAAAGAGAGTACCACCGGGAGGGGAAGGAGGGGCTGTGGAGTCTAGAGGCCCTGGGTTCGGTCCTCCGCTGTGATTTAATAGCCCTGTGAGCCACACTCTGACCAGTGAAGTTTCTGTGTCTTTAGCTGGAACATGAGATAAGGATATAGCAAGCCCTTATCACCTGTCACACACACACACACACACACACACACACACACTCACACTCACACTCACACACTCACTGTACTATAGGGATAGTGCCATGTGCCCCTCTGCACAGTAGGCACGAAATGCAAGTGCCTGCTGACTTTCGGGGTGTCCTCCCTTGCTGCGCTCCGGAAGGCCCTTTGCAGCAGGCTGGGAAGGGCGACCCAGCGTGCAGATGCGCTCAGCATGCATGGGCTGCAGCGGGGGAGGGAGGGCAGGCTGGGGGTTGTCTTGGAAGCTGAGCAGGGTACTGCACGCAGCCAGCCTAGGCCAGCCCCACCCTGTCAGGCGGGACTCCGTCCCGTGCTCATCTAGAATCTTTCCCCTCGCTGCTTTTCCACAGTGGAGTACCCGCTGCAGCTGCTGCATAGCCCCCCTGCCCCTGTGGTGAAGAGGCCCGGGGCCCTGGCAGCCCACCACCCCCTGCAGGTACTGTCTCTGCAGCCAGCGGGGGGATGGGGGAGCCCACCTTTTGTTCTGTCTGTGTTTCCTGTCTCTCTGTCTACCCTGGGTGTGCTTGGCTCACTATCCCCTCGTGTCTTCTCTATCCCTTGGTGGGGGGGGGGGGTCTCCTTTGGGTTGAGGCTTGAGCTCAGGGCCTGGGTGCTTCCCCTGAACTTTTTTCCCTCAAGGCTAGTGCTCTGCCACTAGGAGCCACAGCTCCACTTGCGGTTTTCTGGTGGTTCATTGGAGAGAGTCTCACAGACTTTTCTGCCCTGGCTGGCTTCAAACTGCGATCCTCACATCTCAGCCTCCTGAGCAGCTAGGATTACAGGCGGCAGTCATGCGGCGGGCTCCTGGGGTGTCTCACAGTCTGATATCTAGGATTTTCCCCCTCAGGAGCCCTCCCAGCCCCTGAACCTCACAGCCAAGCCCAAGGCCCCTGAGCTGCCCTCCAGCTCCAGCTCTCCTGGCCTGAAAATGAACAACTGTGGGCCACGTCCCCCTAGCCACGGGGCCCCCACACGGGACCTGCAGTCCAGCCCCCCCAGCCTGCCCCTAGGTAAGTGTTCTGCCTTCTCACTTTTCTGTCAGCCCTCTTAGGGGGCATCTGAGGAATGGGGCGTGCCCTTGGGCGTGCCAGCCCTTCTCTGGGTTTGATTTTTGAAACCGACTTGCCCTTTGAAGGCGTTCTCTCCCTCCTCCTCCCCCCCCTCCCGCCCATGCTGTTGATGGGGCAGTTCCTGGTGTCCTGGCCCTGCCTATCAGTCAGAGTGGCTCAGGTCCCCATGGGGATGGGCGTGGAGGGGGTGGGGAGCACGCATGGCGTGAAGCTAGGGGACTGTGTCCTCAGCCTGGGTGCCAGCCTCAGCTCTCACACTGCCTTCCTCCGCCCTCTCTGCAGGCTTCCTCGGTGAAGGGGATGCGGTCACCAAAGCCATCCAGGACGCTCGGCAGCTACTGCACAGCCACAGCGGGGCTGTGGAGAGCTCCCCCAACCCGCCCTTCCGCAAGGTATGGAGCAGACGCCCCTGTCGCCCCCCCCCACTCCCCCCAGCAGGAACGGGTTGGGCAGAGGCCACAGGGAAGAGAGGGCGACACAGGGGAAGCTGAGGCACAAGTGACCCTTGTCAACCCCAGGACCTCATCAGCCTGGACTCGTCCCCAGCCAAAGAGCGACTGGAGGAGAGCTGCGTGCACCCACTGGAAGAAGCCATGCTGAGCTGTGACGTGGATGGTGAGGACTCTGGTGGTGGGCTGCTGCCTCTGATCCATTGTCCCTGGGTGTCTCTGTCTCTGGGTCTGCCTTCTTGCATCTTGTGATGGCTGGCCCTCTACTCCTCTGCCTGGCGCTGTAGCTCTGGCGTTGTCCATCCTCTCTACGCTGGGCTCCTTAAGTTACTTGTTGCTGGCCTTGGAGGTTTACTGGGCTGCTGCTCAGAGCGAGACCTTGCTTACCTGGGCTTGCCTATTGAGGCGTCTCCTCAGCGCCATCTGGTGGCCATCACATTGGGAATGCCATTTTGCCAGCTCCAGGCTAGGTGCCTCGCTGACTCCACTACCCCTCTCCTCCCAGGCTCCCGCCACTTCCCCGAGTCCCGGAACAGCAGCCACATCAAGAGACCCATGAATGCCTTCATGGTGTGGGCCAAGGACGAGCGGAGGAAGATCCTCCAAGCCTTTCCAGACATGCACAACTCCAGCATCAGCAAGATCCTTGGTAAGGGTAGTGGGTGGCCCTCCAGGGCTCTGGGCGTCCCGGGGTGGTGATCTGGCAGGTCCTGATTGCAGAAACCCTCTGGGTATGCTTGGGGCTCGGTGATGTTCTGCGCTGTGCCAAGCTGTAGCAGACTGATGAGGATGCAGGATTCCAGGGGATGCAGTGGGCCGCTGGCTCTGGGTTGTGTATCATCATAGGGCTATTCTGGTAGCGACTCTCCTGCAAACTCAAGCTGTAAGTCAGCCAGTCGGACTGTGTTTTCAGTCCTCTGAACTCTCCCTAACTTGTCATACTCAGCCCAGAGCCCTGGAGCTGGCTGTGGGCAGAAAATAGGAGAGATGCTGAGTTCAGACTATCAGATAGATTTTAAGTTCTCTGTGCTTTTTTGGAGGCTCAGGAAGAATGTAGGGCAGAGCCATCTGGGAGAGGGGAGAGACAGAGAAGGTCTTTTGTCTGGGACTCCAGGTATTTGTCTTGTCTTTGAGACTCTGGGGTGGAGCCTAGGGCCTGGCATATGCTAGGCAAGCACTTTTACCACTGAGCTGCACTGTCTTGGCTGTTCTTTTACTAATGCAAATGATGCAGAGGCCCTATTTGCTGGGTTGCTGGGTTGCTGGGGTAGGGTAGGTGCTGAGTCTTGAGTTGGCAACTGTGGATACTCCATCACGCCAACTTCCATCTGTTCACTCAGTGTGCAGGTGGCATCCGCGAGGGGCCAGGCCTTGGCTATAGGCTTACACGCATGCAGCATCATCTCTTTAACCACCTGTGTGGGGACCAGAATCTTCCTAGGGCTTGCAGGGCCATGTATGGGGCTGGGGAGAATCACCGGACCGCAGCCCTGACCGCCTGCCCCTGGGGACTGGCCTAGGTTCCCGCTGGAAGTCCATGACGAACCAGGAAAAACAGCCCTACTACGAGGAGCAGGCGCGGCTGAGCCGGCAGCACCTAGAGAAGTACCCAGATTATAAGTACAAGCCCAGGCCCAAGCGCACCTGCATCGTGGAGGGCAAGCGGCTGCGCGTGGGCGAGTACAAGGCCCTGATGAGGACGCGGCGCCAAGACGCCCGCCAGAGCTACGTGATCCCGTGAGCAGGCCCTCCCCGGGCGGCAGCGACGGTGTGTGTGGCTGTTGAGAGAGGCCGGGCGTCCCTGTGTGGCTGGCTTGGGTGATGCTGTGCGTGCCTGCTGACTGTGAGCCTACCAAGGATGACGCATGTGTGGCCGGGCCTCTAGGGTGACAGGAAATAGGCTGTGCTGACTATGATACACACTTGGTCATTTATCTAGGTGACCCTGACTGCTTGAGCACCCCCCTCCCCCCATACCTGGAGAATTATCCCAACAGTCCTGATCTGATGAACTCAGTGCTAAATCAGAGGCGCTGAAAGTATTCACCCTACTGCAAGATTGCTGACAGGTCTGAAGGCAGAACCCTCATGGCTCCAGAGACGTAGGACCAGGGACTTTTATTTAAATGATACGATTTTACAAAATGAGAGTTCTGTGTAGCCACTGAGCACACACCCCTGGCCCTGGGGCTGCAGCTCGCAGTGAGTCTGGCCATCAGAAAGCATACCAAGAGCTGGCTGCTGGTAGCTCGTGCTTGGAAATCCTTGTTCCCCGGGAGGCTGAGACCTGGTTTAAAGCCGGCCAGTCAGGAAAGTCCCATCAGATTCTTGTCTCCCGTTAACCACCCCAAAGCTGGAAGTGGTGCTTTGGCTCAAATGGTAGAGTACCAGCCAGACCCTGAGTTCAAACCCCTCAGTAGTGGTGCCCCCCCCCCAAAACAAAGATAAAGCGTACCAGGGCCAGCTGTGACACAGCCCGGGGAAGCGGGGGGGGGGGGGCTCGGTGGGAGTGTGTGAGCTGGGGCAGGGGCAGCGTGGGGTGCATTTGTGACGGGTCTTTCTCTGCCTCAGCCCACAGGCTGGCCAGATTCAAATGAGCTCCTCGGATGTCCTGTTCCCTCGGGCCGCAGGCGTGCATGTCCCCCAGAGCCTGGACCCCAACATGCCTGTCATCGTCAACACCTGCAGCCTCAGGGAGGTGGTGGAGGGCGCGGACGACAGACACTCCGTGGCAGATGACGAGATGTACCGGTACAGCGAGGAGGAGGACTCGGAGGGCGAAGACAAGAGTGATGGGGAGCTGGTGGTGCTCACAGACTGATCCCAGTGGCTGGCCGGCCCCCTCTCCCCTGGGGGAAATCTTTGTCCCTGGCTCCCATGAATGCAGCCAGCCGGCCTGGTCTATGTTGGTACTTGGACTCGAGCGTGCCTGGGAGATGGGCAAAGCTGTGCACTTGTAGATACATCCACAAGCGGAGAGAGTCCTCCCCGCCACCCGTCCACACACCTCAAAGAGCCACTGGCTTCGGCCGCAGGGCTTGCTTGGTGGTGGTGGGCTGAGCTGGCTGAGCTCCTCGGCCTTAGCGCAAAACACCCAGGACACTGGATGACCCTTCTCTCTGCAGGTCTGCCTACCTGGGGGGGGCATGGCAGCTACACACCCCTCCCCCTGGGGCCACATGCTTTGTTTCCATGACCCTGGCTGGACATGCCATCCCCTGTGGGACCAGCACCCCCTCCCACACGCTCCCAGATCATTGTCTCATCCCCAGGATCACTTTGTACTTTGTACAAAAGGCTCTGGCTGTCCCTCGCTGTCTATCTCTGCCAAGCCCACTGTGCCTCTGGCTGCTGCACACACTCTCCTGTGTGTGCGTGCTGCGTGCACACCTTCCCCTCTCCACCCCCATGCGTGCGTGCGTGCACGCGCCCGTGCGCGCACGCGCCCGTGCGCTCCCATGCGTCCGTGGACGCACATTTTCATCCATTCATTGCACAGATATTTATTGAGTGCCCACTACGTGCCAGTCACGCGTGCTGTGCAGCTGGAGGCCCATCTGGCTTCCCCGGGGGCCTCTCCTGTGCTTCTCTTTGTCCCCAAATTTGCTACCTCTCTGTCAGTCTGGGCGTCTCAGGTTCTGTGTGTCCTGTGTGCATTTCTTTCTGTCCTGGTTCCTCTCCATTTCTCAGTTCTGTCCCGGCCTCCGAGACGCCCTCTGGGTTCTCTGGGTCGGGGTCTGCCTGCCCCTGGCCCGGCAGCCTTCCCCCCCTGCTTCCCACTCCCCCTTCCTACCCTCCCCTCTCAACTCTGCCAGTCAGTTCCCATGGAGCCATTTTGGGCTCTGAGCAGCGTGAGAATGTGCCTCAGCCTCCAAGGGGCTTTGTCCTGGTGTCCTGGCCCCTGGGCCCAGCCTGTCCTAGGGGTAGGAGTGGGAAGATTCATGCCCTCCCCCCTTTGTGAGTGACAGGAGCGCCCCTGGCAGCTGGTCTCCCTCCTTCCTGAGCCTGGGGTGGGTGGCTCTCTGGTCTTGGCTTCATCCTGGCCGGCCTGCCCCTCCTTCCTTCCTCTCTTCCATCCTCCATAGTAGGGAATCAAGCCTATCAGCTCCAGTTGTTTCCCGAATTAAATCAAAGCCCATAGGTACCTAGCTCCACAGATCTGGGCGCGCCCTCGTATCCGGGTGGGAACCCCAGACTCCACCAGGGCCAGATGTGGAGTTGGTGCCAGCTGTCTCCTCTTCTGCCTCCCTACAGGGCCCCCTCCCCCTTTCTTTTTTATGACTGTAAACATAGATAGTGCTTTATTTTGTTAATAATAAGATGAGTAACTTAACCAGCACGTTTGTTTCTGACGGCATAATAAAGATGGACCGTTTCAGAATCTGGCCCTTGCAGGGAAGGGGTTGGGGGGAAGCTGGCCTAAGCGGTGCGTTGCTAGCCTGGGCATCACTGCCCCCTGGTGGCAGCTGGTGGGAGCATTGGGCAAAAGGCTGAAGAAAAGGGAGCTGGGGAGCTCAGCCGGACCCTGTGGCCTGTCTGCAAGCTGATTAACAGGGATTAAACCTTCCTTCCTGACCCTGGTGTTCTTTGGGAGAACACGCTCTTGAGAATCTGGTGAAGACTGGATGCTCACCCCACAAGAGGACTCAGACACTCCAATGCTGATCAAAAAACAGCAGGGTCTCTAATATGCTTTGAACGAGGATTTCAAAGGCCTGGTTGTCACTGGAGAAATGATGCCTGAAGGAGCCAAAAAAACAGAAACTCTCCAAAATAGCTACTAATGAAGACGTATTAAACGACAAGTTCTGTGGTTTAAAAATCTCAGAGCCAGCGCTGGGAAGGTGGCTCAGTGGTAGAACGTTTGCCTTGCATGCCTGAGGCCCTGGGTTCGATTCCTCAGCACCATGTAAGCAAAAAGAAAAAAGCTGGAAGTGGGGATGTGGCTCAAGTGGTAGAGCGCTAGCCTTGAGCTGAAGAGCTGAGGTGCTGTCCGCACCCAGGCCCAAAGTTCAAGTCCCACGACTGGACCCAAAAAAAAAAAATCTCAGAGCCAGGCGCCAGTGGCTCACGCCAGTAATCCTAGCTACTCAGGAGGCTGAAATCTGAGGATCACAGTATAAAGCCAGCCTGAGCAGGAAAGTTTGTGAGACTCTTATCTCCAATTAACCACCAGAAAACCAGAAGTGGTGCTGTGGCTCAACCGGTAGAGTGCTCTCCTTGAGCTGAAGAGCTGAGGGACAGCGCCCAGGCCCAGAGTTCAAGACCCATGACTGACAAAAAAAAAAAAAAATCCCATCAGGTTATAAAACAGTGCAAGAAAAGTAAATGGCATTTCTTAGGAAAGAGATGGGCTGGATTAATTTTATGTCACAACAAAGGAGTTGATAGGCCATTGTGTATCACATAGGCCTGGTCCCTGGCATCATACTAGTACCAACCCTGTGGCTAGAAAGGGCTATTGTCAATGGAACAGGCTAGAAGCATACATCTTGTTGGGAGGAAGGCTGAAGGGACCCTTGGTAGCTAGGCCTTGCAGGAATGGTAAACTCATGGATCCTTGGCCTAGAAGGGGGACTAGGATGGGTCAGGAAGGAAAATCACTTTCTTCAGGGTTGCTGTGGGGTCAAGGGTAGATACTCTTTGCAGCTGGTGAGGTTGCACTTAGACTCAGGTGAAAGCCACCAGGGTCATTATTGATTTAACAGAAGAACAATTTGCCAACAGAAGTGTTGACAATTATTTCATCAGACTCCTAAATGCTGGGAGGGATTTCTAAATTAGATGGTCATGAGAGAAGTGGGTGTATGATGGGTCCCCCTGCCATAAAGGTGGCAGTGGAACACCCCCAGACCCCCAATAGCCCTGTCCCTCTGTCCTTTGCCAGGTCTCTGGCCTGCCTGAGGGAGGGGCTGGCTGCAAGGCTGGCTACAGTGGGAAGAGGACCCTGGCCGGCTCTGCCTGGCCTCCTGCTTGCCCCCTAGTGGCTGCTGTGGAAAACAGCCTGTTCTAACCCCACCCTTAGCCTCCAGACGCTGCTCTTCCAAACTAACCCAACACATTCCTGGGGCCTCCCTCACAGTCTTGGGTTCTTCCTGCTGCTGGGTCCTCTGAGCCCAGCGGGGGGTTTAGGCCTGCACTGCCAAAGGTCACTCAAGTACCTTTGTCCTGCCCACGTCAGTCCACCTGTTGAGCCAGTCCCTGCCTTCCTCTTAGGCAAGCTGGGGCCCCACCCCCTGCCCACGGGAGACTGCACGGGGTCAGGTGGGTTGCAAAAACAACAGTGCCCTGGACGTTAACCAGGAATGTAGGGGCACAGGCTGTTCCCTGCCGAGGAACATTGGGAAGGTGAACTCTGGCCAGGTGCAGGCAGGGAGCATGTCAGAGGGGGGCCCCCGGCTTGGGGCCCCCATCATGTTGAGGCCTAGGACTTAGCCAGGAGCCCAGGTGGAGTGACAGGAGAACAGGTAGGCTGTAGGCTTTGTTGGGGTGAGCAAGCCCCCTTGGTTGCCCCCAGCCCACCTGCCCATTCTCAGGAGGACTGGAGGAAACAGGTCTTTCAAAGGAGTGGAAGCACAGTAGTTACTGTGCAGTAGTCCGTGCAGATGGCGGCTGGGGCACGGCGCCCTGTCCTAGCCACATCCTGCTCGCCACTGCGGCCCTTGTCTCTGACACGGGCTGTGCCCACGACCCCTGGGCCCCAGTGCAGCCCATGAGACCCGGCCAGTTCTGGTGCCATCTCTGGGTCTGGGCTCATCTCTCCCTGGTCCCCCATGAGCACCATCCCTGGCGGGCCTGGCTACGCTACATCCGGCGCCCTCAAAGGTCCCAGCAGCCGGTACTGGTTCCAGTGGTTGCCAGGGCCCCAGGGCACATTTGCAAGCATAAGTGAAACAAGCCGCGTGCTCCTGGCAATCAGTGGCTGCTGGGACCACGGCTGCCCTCTGAACTGCCCCCCTCATCGGGTGAGAAAGCGATGATCAGCTCTGGGAATATTCTAGGCAGCAAGGGTCAGAGAGGCCTGAGCACTGTTGTTCAGGGGTTTGCTGGCTCTTCACTCAGCTGCCCTCAAAGTCTGATCATCCACAGCCAGGCTCCTGCTAAGCAGCGCTTTAACCCGGGGTCCGCTGATCGGAACAAGACGGTCAAGGGCAGAAAAGCTGGGAAGGGAGCAGAGGAGCAGGCCTCTTCCCCTCCCCAGAGGCCTCCCAGTCACCCACACCAGTCCCTCCTCATACAACAGTCCAGAAATGAGCATTTAATACAGAAAACCATGATAATTTACAAACGAATCACTTTATGAGCCAGAGCCAGGAGGCCCTGCGGGGCCCTAAGGACGGAAGGGGAGGTGGAGGCACACAGCTTCCCAGCTGGTCCTGCGCAGGCTCCTGTGTGCTGGGGTCCCTGCCCCCTTGCCCTGCACTCCCACTGGTCATCCCCCTGCGGGCTGATGGAGAGAGGAGACGGGGACACAGATCCTAGCGGGCTGGGCAGGGCAGGGAATGAAGCAGGAGGCTTCTGGGCCTGATTCTGGCCACCCATCCTTGGGCCAAGCCACAGTGAAGCAGAGCCAGGCTCCTGGCAGAGGCTTGGGGAGGGGGCTGTGCTGGGGCCTCAGGTGAGGGCGGAGACCCCCCTCTCTCCTCTCCATCCAGCTGTGGGTTGGCTTCTTGCTGGTTAGGGGCTCAGCCAGTCTCCTATGAGGCATGCAGGGGGACGGGCTGGAGGCTGGGGCTCTGGAGGTAGAAAGGCGCCCTCCCAGCTCCCCTGCCAGGAAGGGCCTAAGACACATCTAAGGCAGCCCAGGTTCCCTCGGGGAGCTGGGGATGCTGTGCTTCTGGGCGGGGCCGGTGTCCAAGCCCCGGCTGTGGCAGGCACTTCCTCCTCAGCCAGCCAGGCCAGGGGGGCCCTGTCAGCCCCTCCAAACAGCAGGGCAAGGTCTTCAGTGGCATCCACGGGCCTTCTCCAAGGACACCCACCTGGCCCCACCTTGTCCAAGGGGGGGAGCCCTGGAGACTAGGTCTGGCCAGGCAGTGGGCAGGGAGGGAGCGAGGCTGCCGGTCACTTGGGCATCTCCAAGGCGGACACTTGAGGCTTCACCTTGAAGTACTGGTTGAATCGGATCACAGCGTACCTGCCAGGGGTCAGAGGAGGAAGCCGGGGTGAGGCGGGAGACACTTCCTCACCAGCTCTAACCCATCTCAAGTCTGGGCAGGTCAACTCCAGTCCATACAGCTTGCTGGTCTGTACTGGGGTTTGAACTCAGGGCTTCGTGCTTGCTAGACAGCAGCTCTACTCATTCAAACACCCCACCCACCATCTTTTTTTTTTTTTTTTGCTTTATTTTTGGGAGTAGGGTCTTGTGTTTTTGCTTAGAATCATCAGCTTCAAACCTGCGGTGTAGCTGGAATTATATACATGTTCCATTACACCAGTTCCTAGTTTTTGTTTTTATTTCAAGTATAACTTCTTTTTCTGAGGTCAGACTGGAGCAAACATCTGTCTAAAGTTTGTTCTCCACAGTTCTGTGGTGTTGATATTTATATTCATATATACTGCATGTCCAGGACATCGTCACCTTACAAAACAAGCTCTATAGCCATGAAAAACACTCCTAGAGCTGGGTGCTTGCCTGGTGACTCACATCTGTAATCTCAGCTACTCAGGAGGTTTGGATCTGAGGCTCTAGGTTTGAAGCCAACCTTAGCAGACAAATCCACAAGACTTTAATTAATCAGCAAAAAGCTAAACTGGAGGCAAAGTTCAAGTGGTAGAACTCCAGCACACAAAGACTGAGTACTGTTTTACTCAATGTCATCCATCAGTGGGTTGCTTTCTCTCTCGGCTCCTGGGAACAATGCTCATCAAATGTTCCTTTGAGAATTGGCTTTCAATTCTTCTGGCTTTATTTCCAGAAGCAAGACTGATGGATTATATAAAAATTCTACTTTGAAATGTCCAAGCCACCAATTTCCATGCTATATTGCACACAAGGGTTCCCCTGTGTTATTTTGTTTTTTATAGTGTTTGTTTTATAACGCATCCTGACCCGGGCAAGGCTCTATCTCATGAAGCTTTTGGTGGTAAACACCTGGACACAGGCACGGTTCCCTTCCAGCTGTGGGTGGGAGGGTTAGACAAGGGGGGAGGAATCGAGTTTCAGTCCATGGGGACGTAAGTACCTTACCCAACACGCTCCCTCCGCCTGGTACTGCCAGGTGCTATCCCAGGCCCCTCCACGTGGCCAGGAGGGGGAGGGGGTGTGTCCCCGGGCAGGGGGCAGCATGGCTGGCAAAACCACCCAAGAGGCCTCAGCAAGTCCCTGACATGGCCCTCGGTGTATCTCAGATGGGTTTTCCATCATTCCGTTCACCCCACGCTCCAGCTGGTGCCTGGCCACAGGCGTGGCAATGGCGCTGGGTGGGGTACAGTAGGAAGGCGAGATCTGCTAGGCAGTGAGAGAGGACACAAGCGCTTCCGGCTGTTCCCAGTGCCACTTTCCCAGCATGCTCTGGGAGCAGGGGCCAGTCTGTGCTGAGGACAGGTCAGCAGGGCTGAGGAACTGGCTCCAGGCGTTCGGGGCAGGCTGCCCTTGGCCTCCCTCAGTATTTTGGGACTCCCTACCACCATGGCCCCTGCACCATCCCCTAACTGCCCCTCTACTCACCTGAGGAAATCGAAGTTGATGGTAGAGTACTGGTTCTGGATGAGTGCCCAGAGAGCCCAGAAGAAGTGCGATGCCTGCAAACAGACCACAGAGGATCGGTCCGGGGAGGACCCCTCCCGTGGGGACCGATGCAGCACCCTGGACCGCAGGGCTGGGATGCCGGCAGACACAGCACAGGCTGGGAAGGTTACCAAGGTCAGCCACTGGACCACACCTGGGGCTTTTCTGTCTGACTAGAACGATGCGGGGCAGAGCCGGGCCTGTCAGGTGCAGCACCCACCATTGTAAGGCTTTGGTGGTCCTGAGCTTGACTAGCAGGACATACACTCCCGCAGGCCTCTCCCACACGGGGAATCTCCCTAGGGACACCCCAAAGCCAAGAGGGTCCCTAAAACCCAGGGTAGGTCTGGCGGCAGTGGAGGGGTTGAGGCTCTCTCTAGGGCCAAGAGACCCTGGGAGTGCGGCTCCCGCAGCCTGGAAAACCTCTGAAACTGACCCCTCTTCCTTCCCCTCCTCACCTGTACTCGGGTTGGAAGAGAATCCAGACCCGAGAACTTAAAACGTCAAGTTGGGGACAGTTACTCTGCTTTACCTCAGGCCAGAGGCTCCCCCAGGTTCAAGAAGCAAAGCTGGCCAGGAGCCAGTGGCTCACACCTGCAATGCTAGCTACTCAGGAGGCTGAGATCTGAGGATCACAGTTCAAAGCCAGGCCAAGCAAGAAAAGTCTAGGAGACTCTTATCTCCAATTAATCACAGAAAAAGTCAGAAGCAGAGCTGTGGCTCAAGTGGTAGAGTACTAGCCTTGAGCAAAAGGAGCTCAAGGACAGTGCTCAGGCCCTCAGTTCAAGCCCCAGAACCAGAAAAAAAAAAAGGCAAAGTGGAGGTTCCCAGACCAGAAACACCAGCAGTGCATCCCTCTGCAGGCCAGACCCCACCCTGGAGGCGCTCTGGGCCTGGGCGACTCCCACAAACACAAGACTATCTACAAAATACCTATCCCTCTTACTTTCTGCCTTTCTTGTAAAGCATGGAAAAAAGTATTTTTTCTTTTTTTGGTTGGGAAACTTACCAAGCAGTTTTGTCCTTAAGGTGAAACACAGAAAGAGAAGCCTAACCCACTCTGTTTTGTTGTTTTTGGTGCTCCTGGGGCTTGAACTCAGGACCTGGGCACTGTCCCTGAGCTTTTTTGCTCAAGGCTAGCACTCTACCATTTGAGCCACTTTATGGTAGTTAATCGGATAAGAGTATCATGGGACTTTCCTGCCCAGGTTGGCTTTGAACTGCAATTCTTAGATCTCAGCCTCCAGAGTAGCTAGGGTCAGGGTATGGACCACCAGAGCCCAGCAGACTTGTCTTCTTGCTTATACATCCCTGGTGTTAATAGGGGCAGTGAGTACTGGCACACACCAGAGGAGACCCGATTTGAGCCATGGAGCTCAGCACTGAGAACACAGGGCAGGGGGGAGTGGGCAGAGCCTGCTGGGGAAGGCTGAAAGGCTTGAGGTGGACACAAGTCGGATGTGAGCTTCACCTCTTCCTAAGACTTACAGATGACAAAAGGATGGGCTTCACTTCAACATGAAAGGCTGGGGTTAGAGAGTTGGAAGAGCTACTCAGGCAAACAAGAGAGTTGCTAAAACAGGAAACAGAGCTTTTTCTTGGAAGTATTTCTCTAGAAAGGAGAGAACCTAAGACTTCATGGGACAGAGGGGGAGGGAAGAGCACAGCTGGGTGTTTGGGACATCTAAGATAGCTCTCTCCAGCTCTGGGGGGGAGGCTGGCGAGGGCCTCCTTCCCGGGGCCTCCCAGGCACAAGCACTCACCAGGGCGAACTTGTTGACTTGCACGTAGAGCCGCTCCACCTCCCCGGCTGTCACCGCCATCCCCTTCTGGGCCTGCAGATAGAAGCTCAGCCACTGCAGCTGCGTCTCCCGCGTGGGGTACTGGCAATAATCGACCTCATTCACACCTGTCCAGGAAGAAGGCCAGTGAGCTGCTGGAGCAAGCCCTTTGGGTTCCCCGGTCAGGAGCCCCCTTTCTCCCATCTCCTTTGACCTACAAGGGCTGAGGCTGAAGAGGGACCCTGAGATCACAGGCCCTCTGACCCCCACCCTCGGCTGGCATAGGGGCTGCATCCCAGGGGGGAGTGAGGAGAGCAGAGTGCACTTTCCTGGGAGCAGCAGGAGCCTGACAGTGCCACTGCCCCCCGTGCCCAGTTCAAAACAATTACACGTCCGGGCATTAGCGGCTCACACCTGTAACACTAGCTACTCAGGAGGCTGAGACCTGGAGAATCTGTTTGAACCAGGCAGAAAAGGTCTGAGGCTCCATTGCCAATTAACTAGCAAAAAGCAGGGCTGGAGGTGTGGTTCAAGTGGCAGAGCACCAGCCATGGGCAAACATGCTGAGAACAGGAGGCAACGAATTCCAGCACAGGAACCAGCAAGGACAACAGCAAGCAATGGCGCGCAGATGGCACGGGGCTCTGGCAGCAGATGAGCACTTCTGGGCTCATGCCTCACACGGAGCTCCACTTAACCTTGGGCAAGCCCCCTCCTCTTGCTGGCCTAGATTCTTTCCTCCATTAGACAAGGAACCAGACTTGCTATGAGTGCCACACACCATTTCTCACACTGGCACTGGGCCAGTACCCCAAACCCCTGCCTGGTTCTCCGGGCGATTCTGACACCTAGCTAGGCTCAGCACCTGAAGACCAGCCTGGTAACGAGTCATCGCTGGGCATGGGGACTTTAGAGCAGGTAGAAAAGAGGTTTATCTAGGAGGGGATGGGAACTGGTCCATGTTCTCTGGGGTCTCTCCTTTCTCCTTGTCCCGCCCCCCCAATCCTTTATATCCCCAAAGAAACACTGGCCTGGGAGCCTTGGTGTATGGGTGGTGCAGATTCTCCTGTGGAGATAAAAAGGCCCAGAGAAAAGAAATTTGCCTGGGGCCACACAGCCAGTTAGGGGTGCGATCCGGGTTGGCCTTTTCTCCTTGTACCCAGAACTTGATTCCTTCCTTGCTCCAAAGACTCAGGGAAGCCTAGCGCCTCAGCTCTTCACCTCCTCCTTCCCCACGCTCTGCTCTTCCTCTTCCACTCCCAACCTGGGAGCAGATGCAATCTGCCCCTTTGGAAAAGTGCAGTTGTACTTTGCTCTTCACAGTCGTTAAGGGCTTAAAATACTTAGGAATTATCCCTCCGGAAAGCCCAGAGGGCCTGGCAGCCAGCAGTCCGGCCCCGGGCCCTGCCCGTGCCAGCCTCTGTGTGCCACACCTCACAGCTCGGCTGCTTTGCCCAGCTGGGGCCCCATCCTCCCTCCTTCTGGGTGCAGCTGGTGGCTGCCCTGGAGAGTTGTACCCTCAGGCACAAGCATGCTTAGCTGGCCTGGTCACCTGGGGTTAAAGAAGAGCTAGGATTGGCCTTGGCTGGGCTGGGGAGTGGCTGAGGCTGGGGGTGGGGGAGCACTACTTCTCTACCATACTTCACCCATCCTTAGTCTTAGGGGCTGGCACCCCACATCACCAGCCTCAGAATACCCCTCCAGACCATGCTCAGCTCAATCTATAAACTTCTGTTTTAACAGCCCTCAAGCGAGAAAACCTGCCCTGCTTTCTTTTCATAAATGGTACTAATGGTGCGTGTGTGTGTGTGTGTGTTGGTATTAGGGCTTGAACTCAAGAAACAGGCCCTGTGTCTGAGCTTTGGTGCTCAAGACTAGCATTCTACCATTTGGGCAGCTCAGCTCCATGTCTGGCTTTTTGGTTACTTGAAGATAGGGGTCTCATGGACCTTCCTGCCTAGGCTGATTTTGAACCACAATCCTCAGATCTCAGCTTCCTCAGTAGCTAGGATGACATCTAGCTTTTTGTTGTTGTTGCTGGTTGTGGGACTTGAACTCTGGGCCTGGGCGCTGTCCCTCAGCTCTTCAGCTCAAGGCAAGCACTCTACCACTTGAGCCATAGTACCACTTCCAGTTCTCTTGTGGTTAACTGGAGTTAAGAGTCTCACGTACTTTTCCTGCCCTGGATGGCTCTGACCCGTGATCCTCAGATCTTAGCCTCCTGAGTGCACATCTAGCTTCTATAGGTCAAGGACCACCTCTCATCCCACCTCATTCTGCTCCTTCTTGGCCTTCTCGATTGCTGCAGTGAAGCCGCTCATCATTTGGATGCTCAGCCTGTGCCATACAAGTCTGTTTCATCCCAACTCTGCGAATGGGTCCTACTACTGTCTCCATTTTACAGGGGCTTCAAAGGTCAGTAACCTACCCAAGGGTCACACAGCTAGGAAGCAGAAACACCTGGATTTGAACTTGGAAGGTCCAGTTGCACAGCCTAAACTTTTAATGAGGTCCTCCTGGATTACTCGTCTTCAGGGCATCAGACAAAGAGCAACTTAGGCCACTGTGCCCTTCATGTGGAGCCTCATGCACATGCGTGCAAGTTGTAGTCCACATAGAGAAGCTTGTCCTGGGTGTGCTGGCCAAGCTGGCGTAGCTGTGTGTGCCCAGAGGAAGGGCCTGTTTGCTAACCCACCTGCCAGCTCAAGCAATGCTTCCTGGGACTCTACAGGGACAAGTTTTCACAGATGTGAACCAAACTGCCATGCAGGCCAGCACAGGTCGGCTCTCCGGGGAAGGAGGAGGGAGGTCCTGCTTCCCACCATGAGACCAACTGCTCCTTAAAAACAGGCTGTGCCTTTCCCACTTGAACAGGGATTATTTGCAGCTTGAGGTGTCGGTAGCCTCTACTCTCCACGTCTAGAATCGTCAGTGGGCCTCCGTGAGGAGGGGGCTGCCCCTCTCACCTGCAAACTCATTGAAATGGTTGCCAATGTCAAAGGCTTGGTAGTTGTAGCCGGCATATTCATAGTCAATGAACCTCACATGACCTAGGAGGCAAAGCAGAGAGTTGGTCCTGGGTCTGGAAACAGGTTCTCCAGCATGCACTGTGTTAGGTATTGTAAGTAACATGACTTAACGTATACAGGAGCATGTGCAGAGTTACGTACAAATACTACACCATTCATTCACTCAATCACTTAGTGCCGGTTCTGGGCTTGAACTCTCAGGGCCTGGGCACTGTCCCTGAGTTTTTTTCACTCAAGGCTAGCACTCTACTACTTAAGCTTTTTTTTTTGGTGGTTATATGGAGATAAGAGTCTCATGGACTTTCCTGTCTGGGTTGGCTTTGAACTGTGATCCTCAGATCTCAGCTTCCTGAGTAGTTAGCATTACAAGTGTAGGCCACCAGCACCTGGCTTATTCTACTTACTTGAACTTTACTTTTGAAGTGCTGGGCATGGAACCCACGGCCTCACACAGTAGTCAAGGGCTGTCTCATTGAGCTATACCTGCAGCCCCACACTGCTTCATATGAGACTGGAGTATTCCTGAGCACATCTCTTGTGTCCTGGATGTTGGGGCTCACCTGTACTCCCTAGGGGCTGCACTCTGAGGAACACCAAGAGGCTCATTCTCTCTGAAGGCATAGGAGAGCCACAGTCTCCTTAGAAGTGGGACCAATGGGGGCTGGGAAGGTGGCTCAGTGGTAGAGCGCTTGCCTTGCATGCCTGAGGCCCTGGGTTCGATTCCTCAGCACCACATAAGCAAAAAGAAAAAAGCTGGAAGTGGCGCTGTGGCTCAAGTGGTAGAGTGCTAGCCTTGAGCTGAAGAGCTGAGGGACAGCGCCCAGGCCCAGAGTTCAGGGCCCACAACCGAACCCAAAAAAAAAAAAGTGGGACCAATGTCACCAAAAGGAATGGCATGGGGACACTAAAGATGAGGAACTATAATGAGTGCCTTCATGCAATGGATTCTTCTTTTTTTTTTTTTTGCCTGAGACTGGCACTTGAACTAAAGATGAGGAACTATAATGAGTGCCTTCATGCAATGGATTCTTCTTTTTTTTTTTTGCCTGAGACTGGCACTTGAACTCAGCACCTGACCTTTTCACTAGCTAGCGCTCTACCAACAGAGCCACGCCTCCAGCCCCATGCAAGAGACTTTTCTAAATGACATTTATTGTTCTCTTTTACACGTTAATTTAAGATCAAAACCCAGATCTCCTTCTGCTTGTGTAAATGCCAGGCTCAGGAGCAGGCCCGTGAAGCCAGCTGACCCTCCAGTCTGTGCTGTGGGGTTCCCAGGCCAGGGCCCCGGGGCGGGGGGGGGCACTTGTACCTTTGGTGCTATCGTAGATAATATTCTTGCAGAGCAGGTCATTGTGACAGAACACCACAGGGGACTCCAGCTGGGACAGGTGCTCCTTCAGCCAGGCCAGCTCCTGTTCCAATACCTCCACCTTAGGGACATCTGTAGAAAGGCTAGATAGTGGCAAAAAAGTAGCTGGTGGGGAGCAGACTGCAGACAGGCAGTGCCGGCCCTCAGCCCTGCGGCCCAGCCCTGGCACGCCGCACTACTGCAGAACTGTTGGATGGGAGGACCGTGGGATTCTACTGTGTCACGTGTAAGACGGCCCCTAGGTTCCCTGTCCTGAGAAGCAGATTGAAACCTGGGTGTGGGCAGGTATCGTCAGCCAAATGACATTCCTGCCCCTTTGTGCAAAGGACAAGAGGGTGAGGAAGACAGAGCCATGGAAGGACAGGAGACATGGAGGGAATAACTGGATCCCATGGCTCCAGAGTGAGGGCAGGAAGGGAGAAAGGCAAAGCAGGCCTGGGTCTGGGAGGCTGGAAAAACTGTGCGGAAGGTTGTGGGTCTCCTCCCAGCTCCTCCAGGGCAGGATAATGGCGTACGCTGGTGTGGTGCCTCCTATCCAGCAGCTGAGGACAATGTCACAGGTTGAGGGCCCCAGGAGACCCTCCAGTCTAAACTCTTATTCCCAGACCACTCAGGCCCCAGAAGGTAGTAAACCAGTGCTGCCTAGCTCCAACCTGCAACGCCAAGGAACCCAGAAGGCCAGTCCACTGCGCATGCTCTGCCACTCCAACAATGGTCCTGTCCACTCTGATGACAAGTGGTTCCTTGCCCAGGTCACTGCCAGGCCACATCAGCTGCTGCCCTCTCCCACTGCCTGCACACATCAGCCCCCTATCCCAAACATGACGACCAAATAGGTTAATCAGGTTTAGTGGTAGAATGCTTGCCTAGCTAGCACGCATGAAGCCCTGGGTTCAATTCCTCAGTGCCACATACACAGAAAAAGCCGGAAGTGCTGCTATGGCTCAAAGTGGTAGAATGCTGAGCACAGAGAGGCTCAGGGACAGTGCCCAGGCCCTGAGTTCAAGCCCTAGGACTGGCAAAAAAAAAAAAAAATCATGACAAATAGGTTAATCAACCCAATGTCATGCAAAAGTTGCGCAAGAACGCCATGTATTCAGGGGCTCTGAACTTTAGCCCCTCAGTACAGTGTACACAAGTCTGTGTACACTGAAAAGCCAAATAACACAGTCCTTCAAACCCCAGGACCATCCATGGCAGAGCCCAGGAGGCCGGACTTTATCTCCACTCTTGTGGCTCAGATTTGTTTCTTTGCCCAGGACAGCAAAGGCATGTGGAAGAGGAGAAGAATAAGACAGACCCGCTCTCTCCCCAGCTGACTCCCTACCCCCAGAACACGGGAAGGGTATTTGGTGACTAAGAAGTCTCTAGCTGACAGGCTCCCTCCTGGGATCTGGGATAGAGGCACTTGTCACAGCTCCTCCAGCTCAACCTCACGGGGAAACTGAGGCTCTGGAAGAAGAAAGGCTTTGTGGCAGCCTCCAGGTAGGCACAGCTGAACACTAGAGTTTCTCATCTGGAGAGGGTTGTCCTCCACCTGCCCGGGATCCCAAACTTGCCACGTCTCCTCATAGCTGCATTCTATGTCCCCTCTGGCTTTTGCTGAGGCCCCTCTGAGTCAGGCTGCCCACTGAGAGTCGGGGAGACCCCTCATCCACACCAGCCTTGATCTCCACACAGGCAGTATCTGCTGAGCATGAGAAGGGCCCTGGATTCTCACCTTAGTACCACAAAAGAAAAAAAAAAAAAAGAAGAAGAAAACTGGGAGCTAGCTGAGATCTGAGGATGGTGGTTTGAAGCCAGCCCAGGCAGGAAAGTCTGTGAGACCCTTATTTCCAATAAGCCACTAGAAAATCCGAAGTGGTGCCATGGTTCCAAGGGGTAGGGTGGTAGTCTTGAGCAAAAGCGTTCAGGGACAATGTCCAGGACCTGAGTTCAAGGCCCACAACCAAAAAAAAATTTTTTTTTTCTCGGACTAAGGTCATCCTAAGACACAGAGTGAGGAGGAGGCTTCCTTGGGTTTGCTCAGGTCCCAGCCTGAAAAACACCCCTATGACATCCAGATGCCTGCTGCCCAGTCCCTGACCTCAGCCTGACCCCACCCTGCCCACCCAAGGCCACCATGATGGTTACTGTGGGAACAACCCAGGCCTATCTCCCATCAGCCTCCCTTGGCTGCCTGGCGCCCCTCCCCTGAGCACTTGGACTTCTGCCAGCGTTGCTTTCAGTCCTGACACTGCCAGACTCTTCCAAGGCTTTAGGGCTGGCAGCACAGCAGCTGCTGCTGTCACCCAGAAGCACCCTGACCCCAATGGCGGGCTCCTCAGGCCCAGAGGCAGCAAGCAGTGCGAAGGGATGGGGGGGGGGAGAGGGAAGGCTGAGTTCCTGCCCACGGAGTCTCCTCTAGGCTCCATGTGGCAGGCCAATTGTACTTTCTCCCTTTAGGTGACTTTTCTGAGCCTTCCAGCTTCTTGGCTTTTCACCTTTGTCCTCCCACGAACCCCCCCCATCTCCTCTTGATGCCCCCAGTGTTCTCCCTTGCCCCCCCTGACGCTTTTAGGGCCCAGCAGCCACCAAGGCCACCAGATCTCTTAGCACACATCTCCAACACGCCCCATCTCCCCACCAGCTGCTCTGGACAATACTCCTCACAAGACTCCTGCTCAGTATCACCTGGGGCATCTGAATGCGGAGTCCCAGGCTCCCAGTGAGGGAGTCTCAATGAACTGACACCCAGCAAGCACCCCAGGGGACGCTTCTCCAAGCCTGGGAGATCAGGCCATTTAATGACAACCACTGCAGCTTCCATCCCTACCGTAGGTCCACATCTGCCCCCAAATGTCACCTCAGACCTGCCCCGTGGTGCTCTGTAGATTACTCCCTAAACAAACCAGAGTTCTGGCTCAAACATTTTGACAACTCTGCCTGCCCGCTCACTGCCATCCTGGCTCCTTGGCCTGGCATGCACACTGCCCACTCTCTGGCTCCAGCCCTTCTCCCAGGCCCTCCTGAAGATCTGCTCAAGTCAACCTCAGCTGCTCACGTCTTTGAGCAAGCCCTGCTTCTCAAGCGGCACGGTCCCTTCTCTCAGCCCCACCTCCTCCTCCGCGGGGAACTTTTCTGTCTCCCTCAACTCCATGACTTATGCACCCTGCCTTTTGTGCGCATGTGTGTTTATCGGAATGGCTCCTAAGCTTCTTGAGGGCAGGGCCAGTGGCAGGATCATTTTCATCTTTCTATTGTTTTAAATGACAGTCACTCAATGTTTTGCAAATGAAGGACTGAATAAAAATCAGGGTAAGGAGGTAATGTGGGAGGCCCAGGCTTTATCCAGTTTAAATGATTGCTTTAGTGGAGTTGACGCAGTTCTGGGCAGTGATTATCCCTTCAAGTAGTTCAAAGAAGTTAGATCTTGATCTGCCCAAGGTATGACAAGAGCAAAGGGTACAGGTAGCCAGCTCTCCCCAGGGAGAGCTGTCAACACCCCTTCACCAAAGGTTACGTGGGGGCCTGAATGCAAGGAAGCCTACCCCTCCCCCCCAGACCCTGAGCTACCACTGACCAGCAATGACCTTGGACAAGTGCTCTTCCCCCTTTGGGCGCCAGCTTTGTCATCTCTCAAGTAGCAATGGGGCCTGGAGTATTGCCGAGAGTCCTGTTCTCCCTCAGCCATTCGAGTTCTCTGGGAAAAAACAGCCCTTGTCCCGGAGATAAAATGTGACATAGAGGGCTAACCATGGTCCAACCGAGGACAGGCTGGGGCTATCCTGGACAAGGAGTCCCAAAGCAGCGTTAGATAGTTACCCAGGTATGCCAGGACACACAATGGAGATGACAGTTAATGAATGTCATCTTCCACACCTATTCTGCACCCTGCTTCCCATGAAAACTTTCCCTCTTCCTCCTCCTCCCCTTCCCTCCCTTTTCCTCCCTTACTCCTCCTCCTTCTCCATTTCCTCCTCCTTCTTCACCTGGGCACTGCCTCTGAGTTTTTTTTGCTCAAGGCTAGCACTCTAACAGTTTGACCACAGCTCCACTTCGTTTTCTGGTGGTTGGAGAGAAAAGTCTCAAGAACTTTCCTGCTGGGCCTGGCTTTGAACTGTGATCCTCAGATCTCAGCCTCCTGAGTAGGATTACATGTGTGAACCACCAGCGTCTGACCCAAGGGATTCTTACCTCCAATTAACCAGTTAAAAAGCCAGAAGTGGAGGTATGGCTCAATTAGAAAAAGCCAAATGAGAGTGCAAGCCCCAGTACTGGGCTAAAGATATATATTTTTTAAAGGTCTGGAAGGGATCAGAGACTCATTGCTGAGTTTTTATTTTGGAAGGGGAGGGAGAGGCCTCACTGTTTCTTCCAGGCCTGTTTTCACAGCAGCCTTCCTGTGTCAGGCACCTGGAGGTTAGCAGGACTCTCAGGTCGCAGGCCAGAGAGCAGAGGGGAAGTTCAGGGAGCCCTGTCTTTCTAGGAGCATCAATATCAGGATGCACAAGCTACCTCTGTCTCTGGAAAGAGTAGTGCGAGAATCAGCAAGTATCATTCTAAATAAGGTGGGGGCAAGAACCCTGGAGACACATAGGCCCAAGAAGCAAGAAGACTAGCAGCAGGAGCCTTGACATCCCCAGGGCTTGCTGGCAGGAGATCCGTTCTTCTGATTGACTCTGAGCTCCTCCCCCTCCCTTCCTACTATTAGGGCAGCCAGGCATGCAAGAGGGACCTCTGGACAAGGAAAAGAAGACTGGCCCTGCCAGGCCCCACAGTAGGCAATACTCCCATCTCTGAGCTTCAGTCTCCACTTAGAAAGCCGGGGAGAAGTTATTCTTGACCCCAGTCCCCCAAAACACTCAAGGAGAAATAACATATGCATATACAACTGCCATTCTTGAGATGCAGTCAATTGTCCCAACTTCTTGGACAGAAGCTAAAGGGGCAGCAGGACAAACTCCTCAGCCTCTATCCGGCACCTGTGCCCCTAAACGTCCCGGAAGGGGAACTGGAGCTAAAGGAATAGAAGGGCGGCAGAGACTACAGCAGCCTTGGACCTTCCCAGACTGTTGTACCTGGGGTTGATCTCGCTCTTGACCAGCGTGAAGTAATTGTGCATCTTGTGCCAGAGGGTGGGCCTGGGCAGGCTGCCATTGGCGTGGATGGTGTGAATCTTGGCCATTTCTAAGGCGATTAACCTACAGCAGAAAATGGAGAGGGAACAGAATATGTCAGTGCTGGTGAGGCCCTCCACGCTCAGATCCTGTGGGAAGGAGGCCCACTGGGGCACTAACCAGAGGGCTGAGCCTGGGGTCACAAGTCTCTCAGGAACCCTGGGTCCCCGGGAAGGCATGAAAATGTACTAAGACCTTGAGCTAGCAGCTCCTGTCCCAATCCCAGACGACAGCAGCTCCCTCTCCATCAAGACATCCATAGGTAATGATGCCAGGCAGGGAAGAAATGTCAGCCTCTTATCAGCCTGGCCAAGGTGGGGAGGGAATCAGGCTAGCCAGGGGCAGCCCCTTCCTGGGCCACAGGGAGTTGATGCTGGCAGCCTAGTGCCAAGGACGCAAAACAAACTAGCATTCTATTTTCAAGTCCTCCCATGGACCTTATCCAAGGTCCTGGGAGAGAAAGAGCAGGAGGCAGGGAGGACTGCTGGGACATGGGAGAGGGAGGGGGTGGACGTGGGACTGATTGGTCAGAAAGGAAGGACCTTGACTTGATAAAGACCCCATCGCTGAGGCCCAGGTCCCAGCTGGGCCCTCTCAGTCCTCTGCCAACCCTCCCTTCTGCAGCCCTACCCCCAACTGTACACCAGGCCTCCAACATTGAGGCTTCCTTTGCCTCTGGCCTGTTGCTCGAATAATAATCACTGGGAAAGACAACAAAGACGCTGACTGTTTGAAACCTTGTTAAGAGCAGAGCTGTCCTAGAGACACTTGCCCAGCCTGGAGGAGAGACAGGTCACACCCCATCTGGAGAACGGGGGGGGGGGGGCGGGCTTCTTCACAAGTCCCCCCCCCCCCAACCTCCGCCTGCCTCCTAAAGGGTAAGGAGAGGCTGGGAGACTGGTATCAGAGAGGATAAAAAAGGCAGGCTCTGCACGGAGGGCAGGGGAATGCCTGCTGGGGTCCCAGCAGGGCACGAACACAGACCTGACACCCAGGCCTGGCCTTCTCCTCCCCTAGGAAGATTCGGAACCCAGTTAGAACAGAGCTGTTCCTTGAATATCAATAGGGCTGTTGTGTGAATAGCAATGAAAGTAACCTCAACACTCAGCACTTTTGTGCTGCAGAGCCTCAGCGGGGGAGGCCGGGGGTGGGCTCCAGGCTGGGGGTGGGCTCAGGGGACCTGAGAGGCTGAGGGCCTATCCTCAGGACCTCCACCTCCACCTGCAAGGGAGGACCAGCAATCCTGGGAAAATCGCCACGGAAGGGCTTACCTCCTACCATCCCAATTTCTGGGCTCTCCCCAAAATGCCAATTTCTTATTATGGAACCTAAATCCCCCTTCAATCTTCCTGACAGTGGCAATTGTTTCTGCTAAGAGGATGAGTGATGGCAGGAGGTGCATCGAGGCGGAGGGAGCAGGGGAGCGGGGAGGACCTGCTAATATTTGAGCTTATTTGCACAAGGCTAAAGGAGAGCGGGGAGAGGCAGAAGCTGCGGGAGAAGCAGGGCAGGCCCCCCCCCCTCCGCATCCCGCTCCGGCCTCACCTCTCCAAGCCAGGCGTGTCTGCAGTTGCTCAGATGCAGCCTGAGAAGTTTCTTGTCACACTGTCCCCAGACACACATAACCGTGACACACTACCCAAAGCCAATGTCCCAGGGCCCTAGCAGCTTGAGGCAGCACTCAGGAGCATGGAGTTAGAGGGGCTTTTAAGTCCCTAGAGAGCTGAAAGGTTTGGCAGGTGACAGACATGGAGCTCTTGGCCTACCCCACAAGACGGGCCACATGGATATGCAGAACACGGAAGTCTCCTTTCCCTGGACAGACCCCTGAACTGCTGTCCTCAATATCAGGAGTAAACCTCAGCCTTCCTGGGGTCTGATGCCCTCCACACAACTCATGCACTGGAGGAGAGGAAGGAGGGTCCTGTCTGACACCCCAGTCCTGGCACAGTCAAAGGAAGAAAACATACACTAGCAGCTCTTCGGCCCTCCCCTTCCAGGCCCCACAGCAGCATGCACAGGGCTTGTGAGCATGTACACAGACCCCAGCAGCAGCCTGAACCCCCTGTGTGTCCCCCGTCAGAGAGTCCCGAGGAGCTCAGATCAGCAGGAAGGAAGGCGGCTCGCTGGGCTGGTAATGTCATGCCTGCCCTGGAGAGGGCCTTGCACACCTGAGCTCTCCGCAAAAGGAGAGGAGAGGGAGGAAACCCTGAACGCCCTGGGGATTTGCCTCAGATTTCATTTCCAAGGCTCTGAGATGTTTCCAGGTCAGAAGTGAGGTGGACAGAGGCTGGAGGCATGGGGTCAAGAAACTGATCTCTGTTGCATTTAGGGAACCGTGTGCACTCGCCCCCCCTCCTCCCCCCAATTCATTCTTTCTGCAGATCCCACTGAAACCCTACAGAAAGCTGCAGCCTGTTTGTGCAGAGCAAGTACACGTTCACTCACACACACACACACACACACACACACAAATGCAATTTTAGATCACATGACTACCCTCCATGGACCTCACTATTCACCAAGAAAGTTGCCCAAGAGTTTCAAGCTCCAGACCTGAGGTATAGAGACACCCAGTACCCCACAACCTCCTTACCTGAAGAGCCGGGGTTCTCGGATATGCTCGGGCCCAAGGGCCACGCCCTGCATGTACTCGTAGCACAGCCCATTCTGAAAGGTGCAGTAGAGTTTGGGGGCACAACCATGAGCTCGCAGCAGCTGGAAGTTCCTGACCTCATTCTCGCGGTCCACCAGCAACTCCGTCCGCTCCCCATACACCCGGACCAGCACGCAGTCCCGCATGTCCTCCTCCACATAGCAGGCCACCAGCTTGTTGGTGATACCATCTGTGAAGCGCTAGCAGGGGGAAAGGGCAGCTATGGGTGGGTGGAGTAGGACCTCTCTGGTCTCTCCCCAGGAATTCAGCCGGATGTGCTCAGTGGAATGCCGGGCACAATTACACAAGCCAGCACTGTCCCCAACCTTGAGGTAGACAAGTGAGCTTGAGGGCGGGGGGAAATGGCATCTTGGGCTCATCTGAGACACACTCCCCTTCTGTGCCTACTTTCCTGTGGATGAACTCTGGTAAGGGAGGGATGTCTATACTACTGTGTGGTAGGCAGAAACTTGCCCTTCTCCTTTCTCCTTCACCCTGGCCCTGAAAGAAACCCCTAGGGACCAGAATGTATGCGGCTGAGAAGGGCTGGGGGCTGCCTCCCACCACTTGCAGGCTCTGGGCTCCCTAGTGTAGCTCTTGCTCCAGCCAGTGACACAGGCACAAGGAGGGGACTGAGGTTGGCAGCCATCCCAGGGCTTCAGTGGCCAGAGGCCTTGAGCCTCTGAGTTCCACACCAGAAGGAACAGGAAGATAACTGGACTAGTAACACAAGCTCTCTGGGCAGAGTGGAAAGGAGGATGACACCATAGATTTTACGGGGCACAATGTGAAAGAGACAGGACCTTAGGGGGCTAAATCGATTTTCAGGGAGGTAACAGGCCTAAGGAGGAAAGAAACTAGCCATCAGCCCCATTAGGTCAGTGTTCAAATTACCCTCAGGCCTGCTTGATGCCTTAACTGTCTTATCGAGTCTGGACCTTTTGAAAATGCGACCCCCTCATTGGGAGAGACCTGTCAGCCTCCACGCGCCCTTCACAACCTCCCCAGAACTTTGCCTTTCCCCATCCAGAAGGCCCATTGGTGCTGATCCCTGCCACTCAACATCTTCCTCCATCAGCAGCCCCCAGAAGGCCTTTTGTAGAATGCAGGCCAGCCAGGGAGTCCGCCTGGGGCCCGTCGGGCGGGTGGCGATGCCCACAGGTGCGTGGTGCACTGTCCAGCCGGGGGGGGGGGAAGGCTCCCAGTGTCGGGGGTGCCAATGCGCAGAGCCCGTGAGGGGCGCGGTGGAGGCTGGACTATCCCAGGGAGGCTTCTGGAAGCCCGGCGGGCTTGGCTCGCTCCCCCCCCCCCCGCC